GCCTTCCATCGGAGCGGAGGCGGGTGGTCCCCGATACCCTGTGGGGACCATGGGAGCCCCGCCTCCAACCTTCTCCTCCCCCTTTCCCCCTCCCCCCCAAACCCTAAACCCTCCCGCGCCGCGCAGGCAGCTCCGACACAGCAACCTGGTGCAGCTCCTGGGGGTGATCGTGGAGGAGAAGGGCGGCCTTTACATCGTCACCGAGTACATGGCCAAGGTGAGATGTTCCCCAACCCCGGGGCACCTGCGCTCCCTCTCCGCCCCCGTTGTCCCCCCAGCATCCCAAGGCGTCACCCCGGCAGACCCAAGCGGGTCATCCCAGCTTGGGTGGCATCTCCCCGGGGCCACCGTGGCGTTTGGAGGCGGCAGCGCCGTTGCGTGGCTCGTCACCGGCTCCAAGGGAGGGATGGCGTCCCCAGGTCCTGCCCCGCATGGGATGCGGTGGCGGGTGGGATGCTGAGCCCGATGCCACCAGCTCTCTCCATCCCTCCAGGGCAGCCTAGTAGACTACCTACGGTCGCGCGGGCGGTCGGTCCTCGGTGCAGACTGCCTGCTGAAGTTCTCCTTGTAAGTACGGCGCAAAGCGCCAAGGGTTGGCCGTGCCCACCACCCCGACCTGCACCCACCAGTGTTGTGGGGCCACCTCGCTTAACCCCTTTTTCTCCCAACCTCCCACCCCAACCAGAGATGTCTGTGAAGCCATGGAGTACCTGGAAGCCAACAACTTTGTCCACCGGGACCTGGCGGCGAGGAACGTCCTGGTCTCGGAGGACAACATCGCCAAGGTCAGTGATTTCGGGCTGACCAAGGAAGCCTCCTCCACGCAGGACACGGGGAAGCTGCCGGTGAAGTGGACGGCGCCAGAAGCACTTAGAGAAAAGGTGGGTGAGCTGAGAGGAGGGCTTCCCCGAGCTGCGAGGATGTGGTGGAGGCTGGAGGAAGGGGGTAGATCCCAGGCGGTCCCCAGTTTCCCATGCAGAAGTGCTGCTTGAGCCCCAGCTCCCTCTTGTCTGAGCCCCAAAACCACCTGCCCTGAGGGTGGGGAAGATCTGCTGCCCCCCATCCCTGCCTGAAGAGCCCTCATGGACCCTCTTCTCCCCCCCCCCCCTTTTCCCCTCCTAGAAATTCTCCACCAAGTCAGACGTGTGGAGCTTCGGGATCCTCCTGTGGGAAATCTACTCCTTCGGGCGAGTGCCTTATCCGAGAATCGTAAGTGAGGACCACCTCCCCTCCCCTCAGGGCTGGGTGTTTTTGAAGGACATCCAACAGCTCCAGATAAAATATCTCCCAATAAGCATGGTAGGAGGCTAGTACACAATGCCTCCAGTCACACAGTTGAAAAGACTGCTTTCCCATTTCCCTCAGAGTCACACTGCTTTTATGCCAAGCTTGGGAAAGAACAGACCAAATGGACCTGGCTTATGGGGACAGGGACCTCACCTGCACAAGCAGGGACAATGAAACAGGTCAGTGGGTTCCTGCTTAGGACTAAGACTAGCGCTAGTGGTTTTACTAAGTTTCCAGGAGACAGCATCCTTAGAACAGATGAAGGTACCCGCTTAGGCTAGTTTTCGCAGTTCCCTCTTTCAGGCTTCACTGTTTCCCTTGCTTTGGAGATTTCACAATGCTCTGGTTCAGACAATGCTACCTGGTTACAGTCAACAGCAGCTGCAGCTCTCTGGGAAAACCTGCATGTTGCCCACTGCTGATCCACAGAAGATGCTGCTCTAGGGAAGGCTCTGCCACAGGGCTTTACCCTTGGGTAGGGGACAGTAAAGGGCTTCTCTCCTGATTGCTTGTGCCCAGAGAGCAGGCACACAACAAAGCAGCAGCTTGCTGTGTCTTGCTTTGCAGATAATAAACACACATGAGACGGGAAGGATGTGAGCTAGATTTAATTATTAGACCAGTAACAAATGTTTAAATTATTTCTTTGAAAATAAGTCAGAAAGGTGGGTCTTTAAAAAAAAAAAAAAAGAGAGAGAGAAAAAAAAGAGAGAGAGAGAGAGAAGAAGGTTAATAAAAGAAGAATAATAATAAAATAAATAAGCCAATGAAATGGACACGTGAAAAGGAAACCCCAACGACAGAAGTGATGGTTAAAGGGGAGATGGCGGACTCGCTGCTGCCCCATCGGGAGCTCGAGGCCGCGTCCCCGCCAGATGCTTTTTTTTTTTTTTTTTTTTTTTTTTTTTTTGGGTTGTTTTGCTTTAAAACTCGTTGCAATGTTTGCATGCTGTCTCCAGAGGCCTTTTTTTCCAGTCCTGTCCAGTGCTTTATTCTCATGTAATGCTACCGACTGTGAGATTAAAACTGTAATAAAAAAAACAAAAAAAAACCAAAAAAACCCAAAAAAATAACAACAAAACCATTCGGTACGGCCGCGGCACATCCCGTCTCACCGCCCCTCTGTCTCTGGGATGCAGTCCTGCGAGGGGAAGGGGGGATGACACAGTGTCCTGGGATCCCCTGGTAGGGTACCAAGTGGGGATGGTCACCCCCTTTCTGCCCGGGGATGAGCAGCTTGGGTACCACTTGGCTCCAACCATCCTTCCCCCCCCTCCGCCATGAGAACTGGTGAAGTTGTGACAGTGATGAAGCCACCACAGTGATGATGAAGCCACCAAGTGATGGCTGAGGTGGCTTCAAGCTGGGCTTTACCTTCCACGCTGGAAGATGCTCGGACCAGGTCGGGGAAAGATCCAGGGATGCATTTTGGGGCTGATCCCTGGTCCTTGGGGACTTTCTTCCCTGCTCTGCTCATCCCGACAGCGGGACATCCCCCCCAGAGCCCCGACCCCAAAGGAGGTGTCCCCACGGTGTTCCCTGCTGTCTCGCAGGGTGTTTGGGTGGAGGCGGTGTCTGGCGCGCAGCGGGTTTAAAATAGCCCCCCTGCATCCAAGGGAGAATTATTCAGCGTTAAACGATGCGCGGGGCACCGGCATCGGGAGCTCTCAGCCTGGTTTTGGCACCAAAACGGTGTGGAGGGGAGATGGCAGCAGCTACAGCAGGCGGGCGCCCC